AAATGTGGTCCTGTTACCCTATTTTAACCCAAAGTAAAAGCTTCTAACAGCTCTTTAAAAATTTCCAATTTGTTATTTCTTTTCTCACTCTAAATAAATTTTCACTTTTTCTACTTAATTTTTTATTTGTAATTTTATATTCTTTTTCTTAAAGAGGGCCCCCAATATTGTATAATCTCTGGCCCTATACTCAGGTGCTTGTGTTGAACCGCCTGGTTTGGAATTCTGCCTCCCTCACCTACGAGCACTGTGATCTCGAGCAGCCTGTCTCTGTTTCTTCCTCTATAAAACCGGGATGGTAATAGAACCTACATTAATGATGTTGAGCATTAAATGACTTATTATATGTGAACCACTTAGAAAAGAACATGGAACATAGAAATCACTCAATAAATCATAATTATTCTTATTATTATTTGAGCATCACCAAGATCACGTAGCACTGTAAATTACGGGGTCACCCATAGTGAGTGTGAGTCCTTAAAATGGAAGATCCCCATGTAAGTGGTGAGAGCAGTGGAAGAGACCACAAAAAAGATAGAGCAGTGACCAGAGCATAGGGTTGCCAAAAGAATATAGTGTCCAAGCAGACAAAGCAGGCAGACTTCCACAGAAGGAAGATGTTAATCTGTTCTGTGCCACTAAAGATCAAAACGAGGACTTAAAAATGTCCCCTGGATTTGGCAATATAGCAGTCATAACTGGTGCTGTAATTGGGGGTATGAACAGGCTCTACCACATGTGTTAATAATGAGTATTAAATGAGAAATTAATACCAATTCCTTAGCACATATTAAGCATTCAAAAATATGAGATATTTTTATTACTATTATCATCAACGATATGTATAAATTTTACATCACTGGATCCAGCCTATGTCTTACCCTCGTATATAAAGCTCAGGCCAGGCTCTCTGTCTGGTCCTACTGTCTTCATTTCGCTTGGTACATCATCACCCACATCCTGAGGTATGACACTAGAGGTCCTTCTTTCACACCCCGCCCCCCCCCCAAGCTATCCTACAGGCTTAGTTTGCTTTTTTCCAAGGGCAGTCATTTCCCCCGACCTTGACACTTCTCCTGATCTTATTAAAATAGCGTAGACTTCACCAATGATTAACATTCCCTGTGGATTCTAAGGCAAAGGCCAAGGCCAATCCTGGGTCAATCCTGAGTCACATGCTCATATGCTTTGGGGGCTAGGAGAGATGCTTGGGCCCATCTCGCTTCTGTAACGGAGGCAGAGCACAGCTTTCCACCAGGATTCCTGCAAGGAAGGACGGGACTGACTCTAAGCAGCCAAAGACCAGGGGCCAGTGGTCCCTACACTCGACCAACTCCAGCATTCCAAGGACATAACCAACCAAACCAGAAAGATATGTGGGTCTACCCTGAATTGCATTTCTAAATTTTCTTTTTAATTTGGAGAAGCACCAAATCTATTTGGTCACGTATTTGTAAGCCTATGTGGGTTCCAAGTAAAAAGCTGGTCCTGTGGTTCTGATTCATTACTATATGAATCATATTAATGCTATTTGCAAAGATCTGTGTGAAGCTCCAAATTATACCTTTCAAGATGAGAAGTATAACTTGTTCCAAGAGACAACTGATTTAAACCCCAAACACACTTCTGCTCAAGCTGAAAATTTTCTCCCCAGGCTTTCCTGAACCTTGGACTGTGAATCATTTTAGATGACTAACCCTCCCAAACTGGGAAGTTTAATCATTTAAACAGGAAACTTTAGAATTTCAGTGACAAAAAAATCTTCGTAAGCAAATATATTTTAACTTCCTAAGCAAGGCAAAGTGAATGTAATTGTACCTTCTCTTAGAGACTCAGGATCAGCCATAAAAATAGCAGTTAATGGCTCATTCTAGAACAGATTTAAGACTCGAAGGAGCATTAGTACCCCTTGGGAATAAATGGCTCAGATGGTTGGTTTTGAATTCTTGGGACTATTATAATTTTTCAGTCTCTCCACTTGTTGGCACCTGTCATTTCCTGCTGCTATGAGTTGGCCAATCTGTAGCCGCTTCATCCACATTAAACTCTTCATTGTTGCTTTTTAAATCTGAGAGTGTAGGTACCTTGTGAGAATTAGCGTAAATGGGTTCTGAATGGGGCCCTGAGAGATTCCACATGTGAACAATCTAAAGTTGCTTGGAGGTTTTTTTTTCTTTTTCTTTTTTTTAAATTGGTAGGGTATAAGTAAACACAACAAATGAAATATTTTGTGACATCAACTCTGGGTTCTCAGATGTTTTGTTGGTTTTTCTTGCTTTGTGATTCTTGGCCACGTCCTAAACTGGTAAGAAACGGAGATGGAGGGTTTCCCACAAAGGGGACAAGGCCTTCGATGCGCTTTACTCTCTCGCTGTCATCAGGGGCATCAGCCCTGCTGGAAATACAACCGGTGCCTGGATTAGCAAACCGAAATACCTCAGGGAGGGGCTGGTTAGTGGCTGTGGCTGGGGACAGAAAGGCCAGGGGCAGTCAGAAACTGGTACCCTCACAAATATTTCCTTATGCCTTACAAAGAATAACTCAAGGCATGAGATCTTGCCTCAACCCTGCGGCCTGATTGGAAGCAGCTTTGTTCCCTAGGTTTGGCTCTCAGCGGCCTGCTCCCCATGGGGAACTGTCAGACATCACGCTCCCATTCTGCAGAAACAGCTCACGAGCGGGCCTCTTTTCTGACGCCTCCCCCTGCAGCGCACCATCTGGCCCCAGAATTTCTCCATCCTGGGAGAAACCCCTGTCCAACATTTTAGTTTAATCTTGGGGAGCATTTTCAATAGGTGAGTGAGCTTCCAACTGTTTGATTCCTTAAACAGCAGAAATCTCAACTGTTCCCTGGAGACTGTGCATTAGCTCAGAAAAAGCACTGATTCTTCCATTCCCCAATAATCTCCTGGCACCGGACTACTGAGACACCTGGTCATTCCTTAGGACCAAGGCTAAAGGGGCTCTTGACCTGGAGCCTGCTGCTCACATCCCCACGTTCTGCTTCCCAGACAGGCTGGCTCTTGAGTGTCTTTCTAGCCTCTTCCTTCTGGGCAGCTTCCAGCTTAAGTGACCTATTTTCTACAAGCTCAAGACAGAGGGCATGGAAAAGTGCTGACTCACTATGGGGTCTGTGTTGTTTCTCAGTGATAAAGCCCAGGGTCAAAACAAAAATACCACCTTTTAGCAGTCCCACACCTCATAGATTTAATAGTCAATTCTAATTAATGCTCAGCTATGCTTCTTTCTTTACTTTCTTTCCCTAGTGTAAGAAAGCTTTTTTTCTTTCAGCAGATTCTAGATTCTAGATTCTAGATTTATAAACACCATTAGAAGCTATACTTTTAAAATTGATTTTGGAGAGCGAGAAGAAGAAAGGGGTTGGGGGAGAGGGAGAGACAGAGAGAAAGAGAAAAATTTGTTGTTCCACTTACTGATGCACTCATTGGTTAATCCTTGTATGTGCCCTGAGCAGCGATCAAACCCACAACCTTGGCACAGCAGACAATGCTCTAACCAACTGCGCCACCCAGCCAGGGCCCAGCTATACATTTTCATAATGATAGGAAAAGTAAAGGTTTTCTCTGTTCACCTAATCAGAACAGAACTATTTCTCTTTTTATTATTAGCAAGTTTTTTCCCCTTTCCATCTCCAGTTCAATATCCTGGGTCTCTAGATACATGGTAGCTATTCAAGAAACATTCATGGGTTGAAAGAATGGATAGAGATGGATGGATGGGTGGATGGATGGATGAAAAGATGTCTCCACATTGTTATCTTCCAGGGCACCCTCCAAACTTGGTAGAGAACTCTCACAGTGCTTCTTGGTGGCTCTTCCTCAGGGACCCGCTAATCGAAGGGCTTCTCTTGGACCTATGTGGGGTTTATATGATAGAATCTCATAATTAAGACACTTTGATTTACTTCTTTGTTCTGTTTGCAGAAGAGCTGGATGAAAACCTGGCCCCCCGGGTCCTGAGTAGTTCTGCAGGAACGGGTGGACAGTTTTGTGTTCCTAGTGCAGCTTACCTGTCCGGCTCCTTGGCATCCCCTTGGCCCTGGAACAGCTGGGGGTCTGGACAGGAGTTCAAGTGGCTCCTCTGGAGCTCTGAAGAAATTAAATTTGGGACTTGTTCTTCTTCGTCATGAGGCTGCTGGATATTTTTGGTCTTTTCAGAAGTCTTGGCAACTGCTGGCCCCTCTTTAGAGAGCATCCTCCCTCGGATGATCCAAGATGCTGCTGTCCACTGAGAACTCTACAAAGACAATGGTCCAGACTACTGACCCCACCCTGTGTCAGAGGCGAGGGGCTCAGTCTCACTTCACTAGAGTGACTCAGTGGCTGCAACTTCCCTAATGTCCCGGCCCCTCCAGTTGGTTTCTCCCTTTTCTGGAGCTCAGCCAGGCCTCCAGAGGCCATTTTCCTCTCTCAGTGGGACCACCTCATTAGCATTTCTTCTTTTCTCTCTTTCTTTGCTCCTGTTCCATCTGCAGCTTCCTATCACAGGGTTGACAACCAGACCTGATCCCACTCCTGTTACAGTGCACCCAAGAGAGGGCTTTGAGCCAAAAAGACGACAGGCTGTGGGCATGCGAAACAGAAGGACCCTTTCTAGGATGAAAAGAGGCCACATCAGTAGCTTGCAGTGCTTGCCACAGAAAAAGTGCTCTTACAATTGTTGCTGTTTGGATTATTAGTTGCATGGTCTTGAAGCAACTCCCCACACATTGCTTATTAGTGGCAAGGGAGGAAAAAACCCCAGCAACCACACAATGGAGAAATTGTACAGCACCTTGACTGGATGATCAAAATTAATCTTATCTATGCAGAACATCTGTTCAATGACATCGTGTGGCTCCACATGTTAATCCCTGGATAGAATATTCATCAACTGGGCAGTATTTGAGCTGAGAACGCATAACTTCAATCTCACCATGAAGAAATACCAGGAAAACACACAGTAAGGAACATGTTATTAAAACAAAATGATGTGTGGCACTCACTTTGGCAGCACATATACTAAAGTTGGAACAATGCAGAGATTAGCATTTTCCCCCTGCACAAAAATGACACACAAATTCATGACATTTAGATGAGGAATCAATGTCATAAAAAAACAGATTAAAGGAGGCTAAAAAGATATGACAAGAAAATGCAATACTTGACCCTAGACTGGATCCTGCACTAGGGAGGGAGATGCTATGAGGTCATTGATAAGTCAACTAACAATTTGATATATGGAATGTAGTTTGGACAAATGTACTTTGTTCATATTTTCATATACTGATCTCAGTTTGAACATTTAGTTAACAGAAAAACTTTAGACCCAGCATGGAATTCTCCAAAGATATTTTTCAATGGGTGGTAGGTTTTAAAGTGTCTCTAGGCCTTCTAGAATGGATGGCAGACAATTAGCCTGCCTCTTGCCTGAGAAATCAGACTAATTACTGGTGAGGCTTGGCTAATGGGGTCTTTTGTGAACTCTCTCCCTAAATGAGAAATCTTTAACTTTTCACAAAAACTCAATCTCATTTGTGCTGCTGATTCCTAATATTTCTAAATAATTGTTTGGCCTCTGGGCTTTTGTAGTCAAATAACCCAAACCAAACCAAGCGACTGTGACAGGGGAAGTTTTTATTTTGTATGAATCTACTGGCAGAAACTTAGAATCCATTTGGAATTACCATAAGCAAAGACTAGTGGCAGCTCACTCTGGGGCAAGTTTCATGCACCTGGGCTGAAAGGTACACTCACCCCATCTGGGTTGGAATGGCTCATCAAAGCCCCTAAACAGTGAACAATGGCACATTTCAGAGCTCACAGTCTGCAAGGTGCAGGCTAGTCCCCTGTCCCCAAGTCAACTGCCACACATGGACAGGGTCAGGGTTCTGTCTAAGGCAGAGGAGACAAAGTCCAGGGAAGTTAGTTAACTGTCTTGCATCAACCTAGAAAGAAGGCAGAAGAGTCAGGGAAGGCAAGAGGTGTATGAGGCTGGAACACCTTAGTAAATGACAGGGTCATTCACTAGCAGGGGTCATCTGAAGAGAGCTGAACTTGGAATGGAGATACATATAACCAACAGGAGAGGGGAAACCAACTCAGAGCTGAGCAGGAGGCCGGGGAGGATTCCAAACGTGACTCAGAGCCGAGGTGTATCCTCACAGGTGGCCAGACGGACCTGCTCCAGCAGAACCTCCAGTGACCTTGAAAGGCTTATCTGGAATGTTCTACCTATTAGTCCTTTCTTTACAGTTCTTCTTCACCAAGGATTTTCACAACACTTGAAATATAGTAAAACTGAGATGCTCAATACCTTTGGATTCCTTTCATAATTTTTAATCACACCGAACTGCCTCCTGGCCAACTCTGAGCTCTGCCGCTGTTGCCCTCTCGCCAGCCCCAGCGGCTCATCCCGGGAATGCTGAGAAGGGGAGGCTGTTCACCCCAGAGCTTCTGGGGATGTCCTGGGCCCCGGGTCTATCCTCACTGTGGAATAGAAAAAATTCTTCTTTTCAGCTTAATAAAGGTACTGTTCAATTTTTTTTAAAAATTGGTAGAAAACTTCAAAAAGGTAAAACAAAGAGGAACAGAAATGATTTCAGGACATAATTTTTATGATAATGGGCGTTTTGGCAAAAGTTAGGGTCCTGTAAACTTCAGTTTCTTTCCCTCTCCTCCACTCCTCCAGTCAGCCTAGCACCTCCTGACCAAATGCTTCTGTAAATCCTTCAGCGTCTTCCTCCAGTTCCATCCTTAGCATCTGTATCTCCCTCCGGGAAATAAGCTTAGACAGGGGTCTCAGTCACCACATGTAAGACTATACAGGTGATTAAAGGTCCATTCTTAGGCAGAGAAAGAAAGCTGCTCTTTTGTCAATGGCCAGGATTCTCAAACTGTGTTATGCACACAGACTGCTTGGTGGACTCGTTAAAATTCATATACGGGGGCCCTTCTTCCACATTCAGTTGGTGTGGGGTAGGACTCAGGAAACTGCATATTTTTATAGTCATTCTAGGTAATCCTGATTAAGGCAGAAAGAAGATACTTTGAAAGTCTGTTTTCAGGCTACAACAACATAGTGACAATCTTAAAGGACCAGCACCAATACCTAACAGGAGTGAAGCGTCATTTCCCTTCAGTTTTCCAGACCAAAATGGAGTCATTCCCAGGATCCAGGCCCTCAAGGGTTTGCCTGGTCCAGTCCTCGCGCTCCAAGACGGCACCCTGTGGGTCTATGTTACCCGCAACAGCTGCTGACTCTTTTGTAAGATCACAAGGGAGCAAGACTCTACAGCCTTCCATGCAAACCCATTCCAGTGTTTATTCGTCCTTCAGCTAAGCTCCCCCTTACATTTAGTCAATTCTCTCATTGCAAGACTCATCAACTCCATCTCTGTGGAGACAGAAAGACAATAAGTTAGTGTGCAATTTCTAACCGTTCATTGAAACACAGAGTGTTGGAATCAAAAGACATTGCAGACATTTTCTGGCATGATCCCATTACTCTGCCTATGAGGATGTTTGTCCGAAGACATTATATCTTCAGTGCTTTTTAGTTTACAGTGCCTGCAAAACATCTGAAGAAAACTGTCCCCCTTGCCAATTCTGTAAATTTTCTATTCTACTGTGTTGCCTTAATCTGGAGGCAGGGCAGGGAGCATCCTCTTAGCCTTCTCTGTTTCAGAACACACATATGAACTCCTCTCTCCAAAGGCATGTTTTCCATTATTGCAATCATTTTAACTGCTTGTCTTCAGATTTTCCTTTACTTCAAATACAGTTGTGAGATATGGCAAATAAAAATTCAAGACTCCTAGTTAAAAAACTAATAATCTTAGTAAATATTCCCCCATGTAATATTTGGAGCATGCTTAAACATTTTTTAAAAAAATTGCTTATCTGAAATTCAAATTTAACTGGGAATCCTGTATCTAATCTGGCAACTCTCATCCTAAACATCCTAGAAGTATATCAACTAAGTCTAGACAAAGAATTTTCCACATCTTTGTCAATTCTTCATACTCACTGAGGACGCTGCCACCTCGTGGTCTTTACACTTGAAGCTCCCTCTGTTAGAATGTTCTTCCCCAAAATATATGTGGTTTTATCCTTCCTCATTTCAGGTCACTAGTCAAATTTCTACTTATCAAAGAGGCATTCCCTGGCCATCTTATAAAATCCTCACTGTCATTTTTCAACCTTCTTACACTGATTTTTTTTCTCTCTGGACAAATCACCACCTGATGAAGTACATATTTATCTATTTATATAGTTTCTGCCTCCTCCCTAAAGTAGAATACAAACTCGGCAAGCACTTGGCTTTAGTCATTGCTATATTTCTAACATGTGGTATAGTTCCTAGCACATAATAGGCCCATGTATTAGTTACTTAATCCTGCATAAAAAGCACCCCAAAATTTAGTGGATTAAACAATAATCATTTATTATCTCTTACTGTCTCTCTGGCCATGAATTCAGGGGTTGCTTGGCTAGGTGGTTCTGGCCCAAGGTCTTTTATGAGGTTGTGATCAGAGGTCAGCAAAAGCTACAGGCACCTGAAGACGTGTTTGGGGATCGAAGAGTCACTTGTCAGGTGGCCCCCTCATATGACTAGAAGACGGTGCTGGCTGTTAGAAGAGGGGTTTAGTTCCTTTCCACGCCAGCCTCTCCACAGGGCTGATATGATGCCTGTGTGGGGTTATCTTCAAAGTCACACTCGGTCACTTCCCCCGTGCTCTGTTGGTCACGCAGGCCAGCGCCGATTCATTGTGGGAAGAGACCTGTATTAGTTTTCTATTGCTACATAATACATTGCCACAAAATTACAGCTTTACACCACACGAATTTGTTATCTCACAGTTCTGAAAGTCAGAGACCTAGGCAGGATTCTTGAGGCTTCCTGCTTAGCTTCTCACATGGCTGAAAAGCAGAAACATATGCTCACAAACAGAAAACAAATACTGAAATTATAGACCTAAGTTTCAATTATAATTACATTACATTTCAATTTAAATGGTCTAAATCTACCTGTTAAAATATGAAGATTGTCCCAATAATTTTTTTAATGCCCCAACTAGGCGCTGCCTCCAAGTAACTTCAAAGATGATGGCATAAGTAAATTTAAAGTAAAAGGGTGGAACAAAATATATCATGTACACATTTTCAAAAAAGAGAAAAAAACTGAGTGTATATTGATAACAAAGTAGATTTCAGAGCAAAAAGAAAAAAAGGCGCAAAGAGGGACATTCTACACTGATACAATGATCATTTCACCAAGAAGACATAATTCTCAATATGTCTGCATCTAACAACAGAGTTTCAAACATGAAGCAAAAACAGAACTGAAAGGAGAAATACATAAATCCACAATTAGAGCTGGGGTCTTCAGACACCAAGATGATAGAACTACTGATTTAAACAATCACCATTGCTGATTGAAGAACACCATTCATTAGTCAACAGTAGCTAACTGGCATTTCTCGAATACTCCACGCAAAACAACAGCAGAATTATTAAGTGCACATAGAACGTTCACCAAGATAGATCACATCCTGGGTCATAAAATAAACTTTACCAAATATAAAAGAATGGAAACCATACAATATATGTTCATTGACCATAATGGAATTAAACTATAAGTCAACAACAGAAAGAAAAACCAGGAAAATCTCCAAACATTAAATGCTTATATTAGAAAAGAAGAAAAATCAGAAACCAGTAATGATCTGAGAAATACGTGGGTTTAATTTAACAAGTCATTAGATTTCCATTGTTTTTCGAACTTTATACTTTTGTAAACTAAAAAAGAACAGAATGAATCCAAACAAGAAGAAGGAAATAATAAAGAGTAGAAATTAAGAAACTTAAAAGCAAAAAGAAAAATAGGAAAAAGTCAACAAAACCAAAAGCCAGTTTTTTTAAATAACAAAAAAATTGATGGACATCCTGGAAGACAAAAAAAGGTTAAAAGATATAAATTCCCAATCAGGTATGAAAGAGAGGACATCACTATAGATTAAATATGCACTAATAGGATAATAAGTGAATACTATGAATGTGCCAATGCTCATAAATTCAAAAAATTTGATAAAATAAGCCAGT